GCGCGTGGCTGCCTCGGGTGGGCACTGGCATCTAGGCCGTCGTCGGCCAGCACGTCGCTTCTGCTGCCTCCGCCCCCCGTCCCTCTCCCCCGCCTCTCGTCCCCCTCCCTCTCCCCAAACCCCCTCGAGCAATGCAAAAATCATGACGCGCAAGGTTTCTCGCTACTTTCGGCCTCTGGGGCCCCTCACCGGGCCTCGGGACCGTCAAAAAGCCGGGGAACCGGTCCAGACCTCTGGGGGTCGACGTCATGAAAAGAGCATGACGTCGGGGGTCTAGGGTCGCCACGCCTCTCCTCTACTCTCCCCCCCACCCCTCTGCGCCATGAGGGGCTCCCCGTGCTTCCATCCCCTCTGCCCACCTGTGCACTCCCTCCTCTCCCACCCCCCTAAGCGGCCTCCTTGAGCCGACCGGGGCGCCATCGGCGAAGCGAGGGACCTGCTGGGCGCGCGCTCGCGCGCACGCGCGCTGACTTGGGGGCCACGCCGAAGCTCTCTGGTCTGCCCTTCGAAGTGAAAAGGAGAAGGCCTTCTCAGAAGGCGGCGGGACTTGCCAGAAGCCGCAAGCCCCTCGCGCCTTGTGAGAAGTTGTCCGCCTCTCCGGGCACGACTCAGCAAACCTGTCAGAAGGCCGGAGGACTCCCGAGTCTTCTGAGGAGGCCCGCCCCTGCTCACGTCCCCCGCGGCTGGCCGCCAACTCAGGGCAAATTCCCCGACCTTCACCGTGGTGAGCAGTACGTGGGGCGACCGCTCCGAGTTCGAGCGCTTGGGGAGCTCCCCTCGGTCACTGGCAGCCAAGGGACGGTGGAGGAGCAAACGACTGCACGAGCAGAAACTTTTGAGGTCCGCGCCGATCTCTCAGATCTGCGCTGCACCTCCCTCCCTGGCGCTCGGAGCACAGTCACAACCGATGGCAAGGATGCGCGGTGAGGACGCAAGGGCCTTGCACGCCCATGTCACGTCGAAGCTCTTCGAGCGAGGCGGGCCATCGAGAGTGGTTCAGGATGGACCGCGGAGGCAAGGTTGCCCACCCTTGCTATCGGCTTCGACTGTACGGGGCTGCGCCCTGCCCGCCGCCAGGGGGGCCCAGCGCCGATCCGAGAGATCCTCGCGGAGCTCCGACAGATTTGTGTTTGCTCTGTGCAGCTGCTCCTGCCCTTCGGTGGACAGCCGCGGCTACGGCCACCCTCTGCACGCAGACGAGGGGCCGAGCGCCGACGCTTTGCCCCCGGAGCGGGAGAAGGGCCTGTCCGAGGCGGAGGCCCTGGTGCGTGTGCAGCTGGGCGCGCGGGGGCCCGAAGGAGGGAGGGCAAAAGGCGAGAGTGATGCCGTGGCAGGCTGCGGCCCAGGATGCGCCCCAGGACTCCCGACGCACCTCCAGGGCAGTTGTTTCATACATGGGTTTTTTTTGTTCCTCCCGACGATGATCTTTCAAATGCATGCTTCATCTATGAATATGTTTATGCATGGACTCATCGTTGTGTTTAGTACTGAATCCCTGCATTTTGTCATACGTGATCCGCACGCGGAGCACGTGTTAAAAACGGTACTGCACGGACACAGAAGCACGCTCGCGGAGCGCGCTGCGGCGGCGGCCCCAGCGACGCGCTCTCCGCGCGAGCGGGCACGGCGTGCCGCTCGGCTCCGCCAAAGGCGAGAGGCTTGGGACAAGAGCTCTGGACGAGGACACTCGGGGCAGGGGAGCCCAGCATCGAATCGATGGGTCGGATCGGCGATAATCGGATCGGTGCAAGTCGGCCACCAAGTCGGGAGGAGTCGCATCGGCGGAGATCGGCAGAGATCGGTAGTGCCTCGCTGAGGAATCGGGGCCCGAAACGGGATCCCAAGTCGAATCGAAGCGGCATCGGAAGCCATCGAAGTCGACTCGAACCGAATCGGAGGAACCGAAGCGAGCCCCGTCGGGGACCAGGGCGTGGCTAGCGGCCGGCGCGTCGCGCCGAAGCGTCGTGGGCCAGGGCCAGGGGCGCGACACGCTAAGCACAGGATCCCGACCGCAGCGGCCCTCCTCTGCAGCGCGCGCGGAAGATTTGACAATCTCGGATCGCATCAACATTTAGGTCGGGCATGTCCTCCTGTAGGCGGATTGTGGACAACACATGAAACATAGAAAACATCAGCCCAAACTGGCCCCCAAAAAATACGGGACATAAGAATCGTCCCCTGACAATTTTGTTTACTATATTTTGGGAGGTCCCTCCTGTAGAGGGGGCCTGCCCGACTTGAGTCAACATCCTGACCTCTTGCCCCTCTGAAGACAGGCGCTGTCAGAAGAGAAGCCGACTACACGCAGGAGCGACCCTGCGTAAGAGTGACCTTCGGTGCGCGGCTCTCGGGAGGGCCGCGGGGGAGACCGAACACGAGCGCGCAAGACGCCACTACTGCCCTGCGTTCGGCGATCCGGGGACCGCATTGGGCCCGCACCAGAGGTCACTCCGGCGAAGGGTCACTCTTGCGTCTAGCCGAGAGGAGGGGGCGCGCAGCGCCTCGCCTCGCTCACCGGTGCAGAGGCATCGGAAGTTCTCCTGCCGGGGCGGCAGATCCGGCGAGCGTGTGGGCAGGCAGCCGCTAGAGAGGGTGCGGCACGCCTGCCGATGTATATACGAGCAACGCATCGGCAGGGGCAGACGGTCACACGGGAGCACTGGCAAGAGCGAGAGGGCGCAGGAGGGGAGCACACGCACCGGCATGAGAGGCAGGAGCAACGTGAGAAAGGTGCCAGGGCGGCGGCGGAGACGACGCTCGCGCTGCCAGGAACTCGAGCTGGACGAGGGCGAGGCCACATCGACTCGATACTCGATTCTGCCGGCCCTCGCGAATTACTTGGAGGAAAAAGAAACACTTCATAAACAGAAGCTGTTGGCGCTTCGCGCGAATTTCTTGGATCTGCTCTGTAGCCCCCGCAGGCGCCGCCAGGGGGGCCCAGCGCAGAGCCAAGAAATCCGCTCGGAGCGCCAAGAAAGTATTCTCTCTGGCGTCTGTTTTTCTTCGACGACTGAGCGCGATTCGAACACGCTGACCCGCTCGAGAACATTCCCAGACCTCCGACGTCGTGTCTTTTTTCACAACGACGACCCCCCAGTGGTCTGGACCACTTCCCCGGGACCCGTGATTCCTCTGGAGTCGTTGTTTGACGGCCCCGATGCCCGGTGAGGGCCGCCAGAAGCCGAAAATGGCGAGAGACCTTCCGCCATGTTTTGTTCCTGTCCCGAGGGGGTCTGGGACGCTTGCCCGCTCGAGAGCATTACGACGCCAGGAGCTGAGGGAAGCGTGGCTTGTGCAAGAAGGGGGGGATGCAGCAAAGGGGGGGGCTTGAGAATCAGCTCACGTATAGCTGATGTTCCCAGCGCCTCCCGGCGCCGGGAGGCGCCCATGTATCGAGGAATGGGCCCCGCGGCGGGGCCGGAACCAGCTGCACGCAGCAGAGGTCCTAATCCCCCATTTCCCTATCCCCCCCTTCTCGCCATCGCTCGGACGTCCATTCCCTGTGCTTTGTTCGGTCTCGTGCGTGGTTTCTTCGCCAAAAATCATCAAGGTTGCTCCTCGAGGGTCCCCGCCGAGGAAAAAACGCACACGTCCGAGCGCTGCCAAGCCTTTCCCCCCTTCCCTTATCCCCGCCTTCCCCCCGGCCCGAAAGGAGGCCGCCCGTCCGTGCGGCGGGGCCTCTGCGCGCGCTGCCCCGGGAAGGCCAAACAACCACCAGGAAAAAAAAGAGCCCGGGCCTCCGCGCGCGGGGCCTCCGTGCGCGGACTGGGGCCCTCCACTCCTTCGGGAGCGCCACGCCCGGCACTCTGCGTGGCTCTCGGTCGGGCACGTCCCCCTGCTCGCCATCGCTCGGACGTCCATTTCCCGTGCACTGTTCGGTTTCGTGCGTGCTTTTTTTTCGCTCGATGGTCCAGGATGGTCCTCAAGGATCCTCCCCGAGAAAAAAATGCACACGTCTGAGCGATGCCAGGCCTACAGGCGGACTTGGGACGAAACGAGAATTGCTGAAAAGAGCCCCAAAAAACAAAGAGGGTCGAAGAATCGTGCCCGCACTGTTCTTTGACTATGTCTAGATATCCCTCCTGTCGAGGGACGTGCCCACCCGAAGCGCGGCTGCGGCTTCGGCTCGCCTGTCCCATGCAGTCCTCCCCGCGTCGCGGAAAAAAAAAACCGGCGGGAGGTTTTTCTGTGTTTCCGGCGGGCCCTGGCCGCGCCCCAGGGCCGTCAACAGAAACAACTAGGGATGAAAGGCCGGTCCCGTGGAAGGGTCCCAGAGCTCCGGGGCTCGACGCTGTGAAACGATGACGACGTCGCGGGGGTCTGGCTTCCCGCGTCCCCCTCCGCTGTCTGCGCCCAGACCCCCGACTGCGTGGTTTTTGTACAACGTCGGTCTGGAACCCTAGGTTCCCTGGGACCGGTTTTTCATCCAGGGTTGTTTTTTGACTGTCCCGGGGCCTGGTAAGGGCTCTCACAGACGACGAAAACATGACTAGGAAACCCTTCTGTGGTGTTTTTTTCGCGACGCGAGGAGGTCTGGGAAAGGCGAACGGCGTGCCCCACTTCGTTCCTGGCGTGTCCCGCCCATAGCCCGACCGGCGGCCAGCGCAAGTGCACAGCGCGAGTCCATCGAGGGGCAGTTCGGCGAGCAGCACGCGTACAACTTCACCAGCTTCGACTCGCCTGCGCCCGCTGACTTCGAACGTGAGCGGGCCGGGGCGTGCCCGCGGCACCGCCGCCAGCTGCGCGGGGCCTCCGCAAGCTCTCGGAGGACTCCTCGTGTGGAGATCTATATGGAGCCCCCTGGAGGCTCCAGGGCCTCTTGCGGGCCTCTGGGCATCTCCGGGAAGCTCTCGGGGGGGGCCTTCGGAACCAGAAAGCGACGGAGCGGCCCAGGAGGGGGGAAAGGAGGAACGGAGCGGAATGGAGGGTAAGACCAGCAGTCGAAAGCCCGCTGGCCGAAGGAACGAGGGGGGGTCACTGCCACCCCAGACCCCCGACGTCGTGATTGTCCCACAACGTCCCCCGAAACTCCGGTCTGGAACCCTTCCCCGGGACTGGCTTTTCATCCTCATGAGTCCTCGTTTGACGGTCCTGGGGCCCGGTGAGGGCCTCCAGAGGCCGATCATATAGGATAACCCCCCGTCGCGATGCTGTTCGCGACGCGAGGAGGTCTGGGACCGGGCCTCGTCCGCCAGGTGCTCGGAGGCCCCCTCCTCGCACGGGCACTGGGAGCGCCCCGAGGAGGGGAGGGGGTCCCGGGAGGCGCCTCGCGGAGGCTCGTGGGCAGCCGTGTCGGAGGCTGGGGCCCTCGTCGCCACAGACGGGTGGCACTGCCACGCCATCCCCCCGAGCCCCCCCCACGCCCTGGCTTTGGGGGCGCCAAGCCCACACCCCCTCGGGTCGTGGCAGAACACGTGACGGGGAGTTTGTCGCTATATTCCGCTTCCATGTTTTCGGGATGTCGGCTTTCTGGGCTCCGAACTCTCTCTCTCTCTCTATATATATACATGATTATATGTATGCACCGACGCTCGTTCCGGCACTGCGCGGAAATTTGCACAGGAAGGCGGACCCTGGTGTATACGGGACCCTGCGACATATATATATATATATATATATATATATATATATATATATATGCACATGTTTCGCTGCTTCCCCCGGAAATGACGAGGAGATAGGTGCACACCACCACACCACCCCGACGCCCACCCCGACCTTGAACAAGTCCTGGGATTGAAAGACAGCCCGCCGCTGGTACTATACAGTAGGGGCTCGACCACAAGAAACATTCCACAAGAAACCCAACTTTGAGACCCCAGGACGTCCCTTGATCTTTGGTGTGTGAACGTCACGCCTTCCATCACAAAACCATCGACACCCAAGACACCCAGGGCACCCTGGAGGCCAGCAGGTTGTCTCTTGGCATGGGTCCCCACTGCACTGTACCACACGGCCCCGCCACTCCACCACATGCACGATCCCCGCGCCTGGCAGCTCAAAATGGCTCCAGCGTCACGGGCGTAGGTTAGCTGGGCGCCCCGGCCCTGGGCGGCGGCGGAGGAGGAGGAGGAGGAGGAGGAGGAGGAGGAGGAGTGGGCCCCAGGAGGAGGAGAAGGAGGAGGAGGAGGAGGCGGAGGAGGAGGAGGAGTGGGCCCCAGGATGCTTTCGCTTCCGACCTCTCGTGCCCCTCCCCGCCCCCTGCCCAGCATGGCGCGCCGGTGGCCGGCGGCCGGGCGGATCGGCCCGACACGCCGCCGCGAGGCCTCCTGCGGCCGCCGCCAGGGATCCGAGGAGGTGGGCGCCGTGGAGGGGGGCTCCTCTCCACCGCTTCGGCGCTGTGGCCCCCCCCCCCTCCCCAGATCCCCATCGAGGCATAAAGAACATAACGGGAGGTTTCTCGCCAGTTTTGGCCTCCGGGGGCCCTCATTGGGCCTCGGGAGCGTCAAAAAACGACTCAGGATGAGAAACCGGTCCCGGGGAAGGGGTCCAGACCTCGTGGGGTCGACGTCATGAGAAAATCATGACAACGGGGGTCTGGGTCCAGAGATCGCCCTGAACAGTCGAAACGCTGCCATCGGGAACCCTAAGCAAGGAACGAGGCCCTTTTTTTCTCCATAAGCTAGACTTCGACCTCCCATGGACAACCTGAGGGAGCCCAACGAAGACGGCTCCTTTCTCAGCGGCCCGAATGTAAACAGTATGCTTCGGTGTCGTGGTGTTTTCGTTCTCCCGCGTGTTGTCTTCACGCCGCCTCTGCTGCAAAACGAAATCCAAACGAGAACGGCTTACACAATCACCAAGACGCCATTTTAGGTCGTCCCCTGCCCGCCCCCCCTTCCTTTGTACGGGCCCTGGGACACACAAACAAATGGAGGATTCACCATATTTCCCCATATGTTCTGGGTGGTCGTCCTCCCCCCCACTTCCCATATGTTCCCATGGAAGTCGGCGATTCTGTGTGTCTCTGTGTGTCTTCTGCCCCTCCTGATCCTTGCGTTCCTCAGTCTTCAGGAGGAGGGTCCGGCGCAACAGCGGCGGGCGGCCCCTGGCGCTCGGCGTCCTCGTCGGGGCCTCCTGGAGACTCCTCGTAGCCACGGCTGGGTCCGCCTCGGAAAACTGGTCAGGACGGACCCCGCGAGGGGGAGGAGGAGGAGGAGGAGGAGGAGGAGGAGGAGGAGGAGGAGGAGGAGGAGGAGGAGGAGGAGGAGGAGGAGGAGGAGGAGGTGGAGCCGGCGGAAGGAGGAGGAGGAGCCGGCGGAAGGAGGAGGAAATTAAGGAGGAGGAGGAGGAGGAGGAGGAGGAGGAGGAGGGGGAGGAGGACGAGGAGAAGGAGGAGGAGGAGGAGGAGGAGGAGGGTGGAGGAGATGGAAGATGCCCAATAGATTATCAGCGGATCTTGGCCCGGCGGGGGAGCCGCCGTGGTCTCGCGTGGCCTCCCTCCGACTTCTCCTGGCCCCGCAGGAGCTCAGAGGCTCCGAACCCAGACCCTTCGGTGTCCCGTGCCTGCGTTCCACCACCACCCCGTCCTCCTCCTGCTCCTCCTGCCCTCCCCCTGGCAGCCCCCCCCCGTCCCCTGAGAGCCGACGTTGCGGACTGAAATGGCGACATCGCAGAAACTCACGACCAGACCCCCGGACCGCATCATTCTGCGTTACCTTTCGAGCCCGATCGCTCTGTGAGGGTCCAGGGCCCGAAATTGAGTGCAAACGCCCGGTGTGAACAGACTGCAGCGCCAGGAGCTCAGGGCCCGGCGCCAAGGCACCCGACGACGTACGCATGCCCGCGAGAGCGCGAAAGGAAGCTGCGGCCGTCCGCTGTTCTCGGGGTCGCGTCCGCGAGCAGCTCGAACTCCAGCCGGCCCGACGCCTCCACCTGCCGCGCCGCGCGCCGTGCTCTCCTCCTGCCCTCCTCCTCGCAGGCCCCCCGTCCGGCGCCAAGGCACCCGATCACGTACGCATGCCGGCTAGAGCGCGAAAGGAGGATGCAGCCGTCCGCTGCTCTCGGGAGGAGGAGGAGGAGGAGGAGGAGGAGGAGGAGGAGGAGGAGGCGGAGGAGGAGGAGGATCGAGGAGGAGGAGGAGGAGGAGGCGGAGGAGGAGGAGGAGGAGGAGCAAGGAGGCGGCCGTCCGATGTTCTCGGTGTCGCGCCCGCGAGCAGCTCGAGCTCCAGCCGGCGCGACGCCTCAACCTGCCGCGCCGCGCGCCGTGCCAGGTGCGGCGGAAGGCCAGAGGCAACAGATCAACCCACGGCGTTGTTTCCTGACACTGCGGGGATCGTTCAATCCTGAACGATCGGCCGTTTCAGAAACGCTGGATCGTTCAACGATCGGCCGATTCTGGGTCGCCAGCGGAGATCAGCCTTGAGCGCCAGTGGCGGGATCGCCGCCGGTCGACACGGCGCGAACCTACCTACCGCACAGTAGAGGCGTACGGTAAGACATCCTGCTGCGGCACCTTCTTCGAAGATCTTGAATCTCTCTGCCCAGACTCCCGACGTCATGATTCTTTTCTCATGACGTCGGCCCCCCGGGGTCTCGACCCCTTCCCCGGGGACCAGTTTCTCAGCCCGAGTCCTCTTTCTGACGGCCGGAGGCGGGCAATACCCGAAGACCACCCGTCGCAACGCCTTCGTGGCCCGAGGGGGCCTCGGCAGAGGCGTCTGAGACCCCATGCTGCTTCGAGGCGGGATCCCCAGGGCGGCGCACCACCACACTCTGGGCCTGCTGGCCGCGGCGGGCAGCCGTCCGCCCGCACGTGCGACGGGGAACCCATGAAGGGGCCCACAAGCACACAGATGAATACGCACAAACAACGGGAACCCTCCTATTGTTCCGTATGTTCTGGGTCTCTGTCCTCCCCCCCACTTCCCGTAGTTTCTCATATTTTCCTGGGAGTCGACGATTCATTGTGTCTGTCTGTGTCTGTGTCTGTGTCTGTGTCTGTGTCTGTGTCTGTGTCTGTGTCTGTGTCTGTGTCTGTGTCTGTGTCTGTGTCTGTGTCTGTGTCTGTGTCTGTGTCTGTGTCTGTGTGTGTGTGTGTGTTTCCTGCCCTCCTGAATCCAGTCGGCGCGCAGTCCACGCGAGGCTGCCGCACGGCGGCGGCCTCGGGACGCGCGGGCCCTCGCCCCACGGGCGGGCTCCCCACGCGGCCCCCTGGGGGCGGGCGGGGCTCGGCTCGGCGAGGGCCGAGGAGCGGGGCGCCGAGAACTCCCGGGGCCCGCGCCGTGACAGAGAGCACGGGCGACCGGGGGTGGTCGGATGACCGCGGGGGCCATCTCCGTGGCCGCCCCGGCAGGAGGGCCCAGAATCGATGAAGGGGCCCCAGGACACACACAAACAAATACACACATAAATCGATGCCCAATCCGTTCCCACATTTTCTGGGATTTTTTGTCTTCCCCCACACTTCCCACATTTTCCCATATTTTCTGGGGGGTCGACGATTGATTGTGTCTGTGTGTGTGTGTTGTTCCCTCCTGAGCCGAATCGATGCGTCGGAGCGGCGATCGACACGAGTCGGATCAGCGGAGAGCGGCAGCCGAGTCGGGAGGGGTCGAGTCGGCGGACATCGGCAGGCTCGCTGCTGTTGGGTCGGGCACGTCCTCCTGCAGGCGGATTTTGGACGAGAAATGAAAAAATAGCCCAAATTAACCAAACCAAACAGATTCAAAAATAGTAGCCACATGCTCAAACAAATACCAGACAATTAAGTAACAACCAAACAAACATTAATGCAAGCGAACATGTAAACAAACAAATCGTCCACATCTGATGCTTTGACTATATGTTGACTCTGCCTCCTGCAGAGGGGCACGCCCGACTTCAGGCTGCTGCCACCGGCGTGATTGCACCTGGGGCGTCAGCTGGCGCCAGAGGCACGGCGCCGCCGGCAGGACTCCCGCAGCCCTGCTGCCCCCCCTCGGCACTCCAGCACACGCGGACAGGCATAGGGGAACAACAAGTGACATAAACATAAAAACTCGATGGTGCTTAGGGCTGTTGGAGTGCCCATGGTCGTGGCGTCCACAGGACTTGCGCGCACACCAGCGGCGCACATGCAGTCGTTCCTCTCATCTTTCCCCGGCCTGCCTTAGGGGAACAACAAGTGGCATAGACATAACAACTCGGAGGTCCGCGCGGATTTCTCGGATCGGCGCGGACCTCCGAGTTTTTATGTTTATGTCACTTGTTGTTCTCCTAAGGCAGGCCGGGGAAAGATGAGAGGAACGACTGCGTGCGCGCTGCTGGTGTGCGCGCAAGTCCCGTGGACGCCACGACCATGGGCACTCCAACAGCCCTGATCACCATCGAATGCAGCACGTGTTTTGCATGCTTGAACCGTGCAACACATGTCTCAAGCATGCTCGCCTTTTTGGAAACAGGCTTAAGGCATGTATTCGACATCTGGAAAGTGTCTGGCAACATGCCTCCTCTCCCTTGATCGTCTTCCACGGCGCGAGTGCCTCCTCGGCGAGGCGGAGGCCGGCGAAGCCGCACCTTTTCACAGGGCGTAGCGCAGCTGCGCAGGCGCTGTGCCGTCTGTGCCCTGCTGCCGCTGCCCCACCATGCCCACAGCTTCCGAGAAGAAGCCCCAGCAGTCGGCGGCGGGCTTCAGCTCGAGCTCCAGCGCTGCGGCGGCCGACCCGCGCGCGAAGCCCTTCCAGAGCTCCATTGCCGCCCTGCCAATGCCGCACCCCCGGCAGGCAGGGAGCACGTAGAGGGCAAGCAGCACGAGCACCAGCGGGCCCCTGTGCTTCGGGTCGGGCAGCGGGGCTGCGGAGACGACGACGCCCACGCTGTGCTCCCTCCGCAGCTCCTCTGCCTCCTCCGCGCTGCCCTGCCTCCTCAGCAGCTCGCTGAGCTGCCGCAGCGTCTGCTGAGCCGCCTTGCTGTTGAAGCCGAGCAGCCGCTCCTGGCCGGCCAGCGCCTGCCTCAAGAACCGCTCGGCCTCCTCCCACCGCCCCGCCCTCTCCAGGAGCGTCGCCAGATCGCGCCAGCCCTCGAGGGTGTCCGGGTTCTCGGAGCCCAGGGCCAGCTGCTTCCCCTCGGCGGCCTCCCTCCCCAGGCGCAGGGCCTCGCTCGAGGCGGGCTCCTGGTCGCCCATGGCGAGGCTGAGGTTCTGCATCACCGTGAGGGTGAGGGGGTGCTGGCGGCCCAACACGTGGACCAGGCCCTGCATGGTCTCGCGCAGCAGCGGCAGCGCCTCCGAGGTACGCCGCTGACTGTAGAGCACCAGCCCGAGGTTGCCCGCTGTCTTCAGCGTGTCCTCGTGCGCGCCCCCCAGCGTGGCAGTCCTTGCCTCCAATCCGCCACCGTGCCGCGAGGCACGCGTTTGAGTGCCGCTGCACGGAAAGAGGTGGGCGTCGGAGTGGCCTTTCCCCTTATCATCGGCCGTGGCCTTCCAGGCACAGGAAGGTCGCGGCCGCAGGGGCCGCGCGCCGTGCCGACGTGACCGTGCGGTCCTCGGTCCTCAGCCTTCAGGATGGAGTATGCAGGGGCCCGGGGGCCTGGGCCCAAAATTCTGAAGCTTTCCTGTGTTCACGGCGTGCCTCCCGCGGTTCCCCGGCGCTTCCCGCACGACTCGTTCGGAGCGGGGTGCGCCCCAGACGGGCCAAGGGCCCCGAGAGGCCTCTGACCATCCGGCCGGGCGCGGCGGCGAGATGGGCCAAAGGCCGCTAGATACCTTCGCATAGACTCGCTCGGCCTCCTCCAGCTGTCCTCGCACCTGCGCGATGAGACCCTCGTTGTGCTGCGCCTTCAGCGTGAGCTTGTGGAGCGCCCCGAACGTGTCCGAGAAGCCGGTGGCAGCCGCGTGGATGTGATCCCAGGCCTCGTCGATCTTGCCCTGAGCCTGCAGCACAAGGCCAAGGTTGTGGTGTGCCGTGAGAGTCATCGCATGCCGATCTCCGCGGAGCTCCTGGAGGCCCTTCAGCGACTCCTGGAAGGACCTCGCGGCCTCCTGCAGCTTGCCGTCCTTCCACATCGCCGTGGCGGAGCTGATCTGCGCCACGAGGAACTCCTCACTCCTCTGGGGCTCGCTGCTGGGCTTCGACGCCTCCTCCTTGCGCAGCTGATCCACAAGCTTGCCGCTGGCGGCAGCGAGCAGGCCGGCCGCCCTGCCGAGGAACGCCTGGTGACACACGCCGCACGAGGCGACGCCGGGGTTGCCCGTGGCCCGCCACTTGGCCCGCCACTGCATCACCAGGCACTCCCCGTGGACGTACCGCGCGGAGCCGCGGCAAGCGCACGCCTCTGGGGCAGCCAGCAGATGCCGACGTCCCTATAATCACCGCGGGTTCGTGTCGTGTGGACCCCGGCGCTGGTTCCTGCCACCGCGGGGATCGCTCAACCTCGAACAGTCGGAACGCCAAATCGTTCAACATCGACCCATTCTGGTCGCCGGCGGCCTTGAACAATGAACGCCGGCGGCAGGGTCGCCGCCAGTCGACACGACGTGAACCTACCGTACTCCTCAGACCTCTCCTGGGGCGCGCTCTGGCCAGAATTTCGAAGCGAACCCAGCTGTGGCGACAAGGGCCTCCCAGGAGACCCAGGCAGGTGGACAAGGACTCAGGAAAAGGTAGCGGCACACGCCAGTCGGAAGAAGTAGGCGACAACATGAAGCAGGCAGGCAGAGAAAGCAGCTTGGGTTCAGGCCCAGCCAAGAGAGCCACACAACGCAGCAACAGCAGATCGATTCTTGACATAGACAGGCGCTGGAAGTAGAGTGGGTTCTGGGAAACCAGAAATGCATATATATATATATATATATATATATATATTCAACGACCAGCGGGGCTCGGTATCTTTTTCCGTCCCCGAGCCTCCAGCAGCTCCTCGGCCTCGCCGCCCTCCAGGCAGATGCGGCAGGCCGGCGCCTCCTCGCCGGCCTCCCCGAACGGGCGCTGCACCTGGGGAGACGAAAAGGTACCGATACCCAGAGGAGGAGGAGGAGGATGAGGAGGAGGAGGAGGAGGAGGAGGAGGAGGTCGGTCGGAAGAGGCAGGTAGAAACGTGACGTAGGAAGGCGTTGGGAGGAGATCGGGTTTCCGCCCGCCCCCCAAGGAGGACGGAACAGCTGAAGCCACTCGATCCTTGCAGTAGGAAGGCGCCCAAAATAGATGTTGGAATCTGGGGCTCCCAACATACCTACTTGCAACGACCGATGGGTACGGCTACTTCCCGGACCTCTCCTGGGCTGCGCTGACCAATGTTTCGAAGCGAATCCAGCCGTGGCGACGAGGGCCTCCCAGGAGGCCCAGAAAACGAGGCAAGTGTAGCGGTATCGATACCTCCTCCCTCAGTTGTCCTTTAAAACGCTGGGGGCGTTGTTTTTTCTTCCCCATTTCAACTTTCCTGGTTGCGGTCGACCAAAACGGAAACAAAATGGTAGCCACAACCGGATAAACAACGATTCGTGATCGAGCTGAAAATGAACAGAAAACAGTGCCCAAACGTGAGGGAACGCATTGCCGAAACGGCTCAAACATGATCGGCGTTTGCGGGGTAGTTGGAAAATTAGCCGGCCCCCTTGTGGGGCCTCCAGGCTGTAGGGCTAATCTTCGAAGTTTCCTGTTCCAGTTGCAGCTTCCAGTTTCCACTGTTACGGTTCTGCTTCTGGCTGCTTACTGTTCCTTGTTGACTTCTTGCTGCTTACTGCTCCTTGTTGATGGACCGCGCGAGGAGGGGAGGCCCATAACGGGAATTTTTACAACTCCCTGGGAATGTTATCAGAATTTCTGGGGAGGTAAACGTTGACACCCCTCACGCAGATCGGCGGGTTGAGGGTCCAAAATCACAAGGGATTTGCCACATTTCTGAAATTCGGTGGCACCCCTCACGCAGATCGGCGGGGTCAGGGTCCAAAAACACAAGGGCACAAGGGATTTGCCACATTTCTGAAATTCGGTGGCACCCCTCACGCAGATCGGCGGGGTCAGGGTCCAAAAACACATTGGATCTGCCACATTTCTGAAATTCGGTGGCACCCCTCATGCAGATCGGCGGGGTCAGGGTCCAAAGACACACAGGATTTGCCGCATTTCTGAAATTCGGTGGCACCACTCACGCATATCGGCGGGGTCAGGGTCCAAAAACATAATGGATTTGCAACATCTGGTCAGGGTCCAAAAACACAAGGGATTTGCCACATTTCTGAAATTCGGTGGCACCCCTCACGCAGATCGGCGGGGTCAGGGTCCAAAAACACAAGGGCTTTGCCACATTTCTGAAATACGGTGGCACTACTCAAGAAGATCGGCGGGGTCAGGGTCCAAAAACACAAGGGATTTGCCACATTTCTGACATTCGGTGGCACCTCTCATGCAGATCGGCGGGTCAGGGTCCAAAAACACAGGATTTGCCGCATTTCTGAAATCCGGTGGCACCACTCACGCCCATCGGCGGGGTCAGGGTCCAAAAACATAATGGATTTGCCACATTTCTGAAATTCGGCGGCACCCCTCACGCAGACCGGCAGGGTCACGAGGCCTTACCAATCGCCAGGTGTGGTAACCCTTCTGGTCATCTATTGGTTTTGCTCATTGCGAGTCGGCCTCGCATGAAGTTCCGATACTGCTTCACGACAGCGCCCAGGCGTCATGACATAGCTCTTGCATAGCGCATTCTCCGACGTAGGGGGCCAGCGGCAGGGGGCGAAGCCCTTACGGATATCGAAAACGTGTTGAACACGGTTAAAACAATGGCTCGGCAAGGCGCAGTCCGCTTCCCGACCTGAAAACGGAAAGAAAACGGTTCCCGAAAACGAATGAAAAACGGAGCTCGAAACTGAAAGAAAACAGCGGCTCCAACTTCCACCGAAACAGTCAGAATACGGCAACCAAAACGGAAAGAAAACGTCGATCTTGAAGACGGAGAGAAAAACGCCTCCAGCTTTTCGAGAACGCCTGAGCCTCTCCCTCCTGTGAGCGCCAGGGCGCAGATGCTGAAGCCGACGGGCCGCGGGCCGTCGTAGATCATGACACGGCGCACCCCGCGGACCTCGGTCGCTCGCTACAAGCCGATCGCTCGTTGTCGCTAAATCGTCGTCGCTCGCTCGTCGTCGCTACGCTGTCGTTGTCGCTACGCTGTCGCTGCTCTTCGACTCGTTCGCTGTCGCTGCGCTGCCGCTTCGACTCTAGAAGGAGGAGAAGAAGAAGAATTAGAAGAAGAAGAAGAAGAAGCAGAAAACGCCATAAACATGAACGTTTGGCGCTCCGCGCGGATTTCTTGGATCAGCGCTGGACCCCCCTCCCTGGCGCGCAGAGCGCGCCAGGGGCGGCGCCAGAGGCTCCGCCAAGGGGGGGGGGGGCCCGCGCGGATCCAGGCAACCCGCGCGGAGCTCCACGAGTTTGTGCTCATGGCGGTTACATCGCCATGAACCCAAACTTGTCGCGCACGGCGGCAGTGCCCGGAGCGCACTGGGGGGGGGGGAGCGTTACGTCATAGGGGAAGGGGGGGGGGAGCGGGGGCCATGACGCCCGTCATGCCCCAAGCAGTACAGAAACGGGCTCTTTTTCCTCCTCCTATAGGCTCGCGCGCTGTCGCTCCTCGCAGGGCGCGCCGCGGCGCACCCCCGCAGGGCCTCGGCGCCGTGCACGCGGGCCGCGCACGCCTCGTCCGAGGCCCGGCGGCGCACGCCGGCGGCGGTCGGAGGGCGCCCCAGGGCCGCCTCGGGGTCCAGCTCCTCGCAGGGGAGGAGCAGCGCACGGAGGGGGCGCACGGAGGACACGGCATCAGCCCGTAGGAGCCAAATGCGCGGTGAGGGCCCAGGCAGGATCGCGTCGCAAGAAGCTCCGGACGGCAAATGGTTCCTTCTGTTCGCCCCCTGGGGGCCCTCGCTGGGCCCCGGGACCGTCAACAAGCGACTCAGGATGAAAAAAGGCGGCACCAGGGAAATGGTCTGGACTTCCGGGGACGCCGCTCTGAAAAAATCAGGGGGTCGCATGTCTGGGGTTAGGTCGGGCATGTCCCCCCACAGGCCGATGTCCGACGAAAACTGCAAAAACAACATGTATACATATATATATATATATATGTATATATATATATATATATATATGTATAATGTACTCAAACAAAACATGGTCAACAAATGCTAGCAAAATCGTCGCCAGACTATGTTTTAAGCTATTTTTGAATACTCCTCCTGTAGAGGGACAGGCCCGACGGAAGTCTGGGAATGCAATCGAGGGCCTTGGAGGGCCATGCGAACGTTCTTCGGGCGAGGCTCGCCAGCGACAGCCGCTAGAATAAGGATGCGGGGGGCGGCCAGCGGAAGCGGCCCGAGGACGGGCCGAAGGGGGCAGGGTGCAAGGGTAGCCCTGGGAGGGTTGGCCATCCTTACTATTGAGCAGGGATCAGCCGGCCTAGCGCTCCTATGGGCCTACCACAACATGTTCTCATAACCCAGACCTTTTCAAAGAACGGAAACCATGTTCTTAGAACATACAGCCGGCCTCTCAACACACGATAAGATCAGCCAGTTATGTTCTGAGAACATGTCGTGCAACCCGCGAAATGTTGTTACAACATGTTCTGGTGAGCCTATAGGCGAGCCATGGCGCCTCGCTACTGCTTGATACGATGCGGGTTGACTGTGCACCCCTGCTTCAAGTGCCACGCCAAGGAGCTCGGAAGTCGGCTTGACGCCAAGCGTTTCCTCAGAGCATCTAGTCCAGGCTCAGATGCAGGAGCACTCTACGACACAAAAACTCACAGAAAACGCCCAGGCTCCAGTCCACATTCTCGGTTCTCTTACGCGAGATCCGGGGTCCATGAGACACGCTGCGTTTTCATCATCTTCCTGATCGGTGTAGTACAATGTTTCCTCCGTGGAAGCGTGCGCCCGGACCGAGCATATAGTACAGACCAACTTCTAGCTTATCGTTTCCCGAGCGGTATGGCCAGAACGCGTCCGCCACGGAGCTCAGACAACAAGATTCATAGGCACGCGCGTCGCCCCATATGGGGGCGACGAAAACATGGTATTAATATGTTTGGAGGCGCCGACAAAACAACATACGGCCCGACCCAAGACAGAAACACATCGTTCAAAATCATGAGACCCTCCGCCGGCCAGAACACAGAACATCCGAGGGCACCCTCCCCGAACCGACCTCGATCTTAGACCTCTCGGCGGCGAACGAGGGGGGGGAATGAGAAGGAGAAGGCCTTCTCAGAAGGCGGCTGGACATCTCGGAAGCCCTCGCGCCTTCTGAACAGTTGTTCTTGTCTTCGGGGAAGGCTTAGACAACTTCTCAGAAGGCTGGGGGACCGAACCTTCTGACAACGCATTCTCCTTATCACTTCCCCACCTCGCTCACCGCCGTACCTCGTTCCGACCGTAAACAGATAACACGTTCGGAGCTCCGCGCGAAGCTCCGAGCGGAGCTCTTGGATCGGGGCTGGGCCTCCCCTCCTCGTATGGTCGCGCGCGAAGGGGCGCGCCGGAGAGGCGGCGCGAGCGCCGCCCCACGAAATGATGCCCTGATGTGGCGGCGCGGGGTCCCAGATGTGGCGGCGCGCACAAAAGGGGGAAGGGCAGAGGGGAGGCAACCTTTCCCCCCTCCCCCGCCGGGCAACGGCCGTTACCTTGACGGTGGGGGGAAGTGGGGTCGGGCAGAGGGGTAAGGGTAACGGCGGCCGCGGCGTGCGCCCGCCAGGGTGCGTCCGCGCCGCCGGCGCATCAATCGCCTGTGTACGCGAGAGTGCCCACTGCCTGCATGCAACACAGCGCCACGTGTGCACACATCATAATGCCTCCGTGCACCACACGAGCCGCGCGCACTGCAACACAACGTCGCCATGCACACCGCAGTGCTTGCGTATACTGCATTTTGCGTGGTATAGAATGGGATCTTACAGAAATCCATTGTAAAACCTGATTATTAAATGAAGCCCCATGGAAAATTGACCGCCTCTGGATCCCAACACTTCATTGATTTAATAGATTGTGACGCGGAAGCGCTATGGAAAGCGGACCACCTTTGGATTCCACAAAAATTTGTTGATTGATAAAGGAACCCCTTTGGAAATTGTGGCGCGTATGGATTCTACAGAAAACGAACATTGTATATACACGTTTTGAAAGAGTCCTCATGGAAACTGGAACGCCTGAGGATTCTACACACGTGCACTACAACGCCTACGTGCACCACAGCGCCTGAGTGCACCGCAACAGCCGCGTGCAACAGAGCGTCGTTGTACACCACAGTGCCTGCGTGCACCACCACGCTTGCGTACACCACAGTGCCTCTGTACACAGCAGCAGCTGTGTGCCACGCACAATCCTTGGAAACCGAAGTTGGGATTTGTTTGCAAAAGCTGACAACTGAAAACGGCAAAAAGGACAGGCCGCAGATGCAAGGACACAAGGGTACCCTGGAGAGCGCGCGCGTCCTGATTAGGCGCGCTGACTGTATCGCACTGCAGCCGTGCACCAGCCAGAAGGAAGAGAGAAAGCCACCGCATTTTGCACTTGCGGAAGAGTGGTCGAACCAGCCTGCGGTAGCTGAGCCATCGCCAGCTGCATTGGACGACAACGAGGACGAAGACGACGACGACGACAAACGACGACGACGACGAGGACGACGAGGACGACGACGACGACGACACACGACGACGACGACATACGACGACGACGAAGACGAAGACGACGACGACACACGACGACAACGACATACGACATACGACATACAACGACGACGACGACGACGACGACGACGACGACGACGACGACGACGACGACGACGACTTCGAGCGCCACTACAATGAGCACCAATGCGTGCCGTTCAAACCACGCCATGCCTGTGAGCACAGCTTCATAGCTGCGGGGTGTCCGCTCCCAGCATGTAGGGGGGGGGGGGACAGGCCCCCCTTCACCCACGGCACGATCGTTGGCGTAATCCGGGGGGGGAGAAGGGTTGGCCCGGGTAGCGAGCGTTACGCCGGAGAGGCAAGCAAAAACGCTCACAAGGCCTCTTACGAAGAGGCTGCTTCTCAGGAGGCGCCGGCCCCACATCTGTATAGACAGGGCGTGCGCCTTCTGAGAGGCAGGGCACTTCGAAGAAGCCTCCCCCCCTCACTTGACCCCCCTCTGCGCGTGGCCGACGAACGGTCGGATTTTTTCGAGCAGAAGGAAAACGACATAAACATAAACTTTTGGCGCTCCGGGCGGATTTCTTCGATCTGCGCTGGGTCTCCCCGGCGGCGCCTCCGGCGCCGCCCCTGGCGGGCTCCGCGCGCTAAGGAGGGGGGTCCAGGCGCGCCTGGCGCGTGGAGCGTGCCCCTGGCGCCGCTCCGCGCGACATAGACGTTTGGCGCTCCGCGCGGATCCAAGACATCCGCGCGGAGCGCCAAACGTTGATGTTTATGGCGATGTGTCTTCTCCGATTCTCAAAAAGCCTCCCCCCCCTCCCCTGACCCCCCCCCCTGCGCGGGGCCGACAAACAGTCCCGAACTGTTCCCCAGGGCCAGCCTCGACTGCACGCAAGAGGGACCTCTGGAGCGCGGCGTTCGGGAGGCCGCGGGGGGACCGAGCACAAGCGCGCAAGACGCTGCTACCACATCGCGCTCGGCGATCGGGGACCCCATTCGGCCCGCACCAAAGGAGGAGGAGGAGGAGGAGGAGGAGGAAGAGGAGGAGGAGGAGGGGGAGGATGAGGAGGGAGAGGAGAGGAGGAGGAGGAGAGGAGGAGGAGGAGGAGGAGAGGCGGAGGAGGCGTAGGCGGGGATTGGGGAGGAGGAGGTCGGATATGCAGGAGAGAAGTGAGATGAGGAAGGAGGAAGTGGGCGCCGTCTGCTGTGTCGAGGAGGAGGAGGAGAGGAGGAGGAGAGGGAGGAGGGAGAAGAGTGAGAAGGAGGAGAATGAGGAGGAGAAGAAGGAGAAAAGGAGGAAGAGAGGGGGAGGAGGAGTTAGAGAGGTGGAGGATGAGGACGAGGAGTGTGGAGAAAGAAAGGAGGAGGCGGAGGAGCAGGAAGGGAGGAGGTGGAGGTTGAGG